CAGTTCTCTTCCTGAGAGAAGTGAGGCACTCACTAAACTCTGCATCTTACTTTGATTTCTCTTTTCCTCCAGATCACAAAGGGACATGCTTGTTCTTTACTATATACCATAAAAAAAGATAAAAAAATAAAACCAAACTCGCTGCCATCGAGTCAATTTCGACTCATAGCAACCGCTCCTTGGGTTTCCAAGGCAGTATCTCTATGGAAGTAGACTGCCTGATCTTCCTTCCGAGGAGTGGTTGGTGGGTTTGAACGCCAACCTCCTGGTTAGCAGTCAAATGACTTAGGCACTACACCACCATGTCCTAATTATTCTCACTGCACAATGTATATGACATATGCTGTTATCTGCCTTGTCATGCTTGGCTCTTAATGTATCAATAGGAGCTACAAGAATTTGAGCATCTCCTGTACCTTTTTCTAATGGCTCTGCCTTAAGCATGAAAAGTGGCATGGAAATATAAATCTAATAGGAAATGAAAACACATCATATTCTCAAAACATTAGCTTTGTTACATCTAGATCACTGGTAGTGAACCCTGACTGCAAATTAAATTCACTGAGTTCTTTTAAAAAATACCACAGAAAACTTAAATCAGAATGTCAGATATTTATCAATCAGACAGAGGCTTTAGGTGAATTGCTCAGTTGTTTTTGTTGTTATGTGCTGTTGAGTTATCTCCGACTCATAGTGACCTAATGTACAACAGAATGAAACACTGCTCAGTCCAATGCCAGCCTCCAAATCTCTACTATATGTAAGCCCATCGCTGCAGCCACTATGTCAATCTATCTTCTTGAGGGCCTTCCCCTTTTTCATTGACCCTCCACTTTACCAAGCATGGCACCCTTCTCCAGAGAATGGTCCCTTCTTGCAACATGATCAAAGTAGGTGAGGCAAAGTCTGGCCATTTTCACTTCCAAGGTGCACTCTGGCTGCACTTCTTCCAGGACAGATTTGTGTGTTCTTCTGCCAGTCCATGGTACTTTGAGCCTTCTTCACCATCACCACAACTCGAAAATATCAACTCTTCTTTGGTCTTCTTTATTCCTTGTCCAGCTCTCACATGCATATGAGGCAATTGAAAATACCATGGCTTGGTTAAGCACATCTTAGTCTTCAAGGAGACATCTTTGCTCTTCAGCACTTGAAAAAGGTCTTTTTTTTTTTTTTTTTAAATGTGCTTTAGGTGCAAATTTACAGAGCAGAATTTGTTTTACATTCAACATTTCATGGACATTTGGTTTCACTTCCCAATTACCATACCCAACCCTAATCCACTCTCTTCCTCTCCCTTCCCAATAACCAAGCCCCTCCCTGTGCCCTTCTTAGTTATGCACTCCTGTGTGTCCTGCTTTTCTTTCATGTGAATGTTGCTCCTCTGGTGCTCCATAACCAATTGCTCCAAGGGATGTATCTCCGTAGAGTATGTGAGTGCATCGCCCAGGGTTGAGTGATCTGCGTGTATGTCTTGATTACTATTGGGCTAAGAGCCAGCCCTTGGGAGTGAGTTTCATCCCAGGCCTGAAGTGTATCCCAGGGCCATAGTCTTAGGGGTCCCACCAGACTCCATCCAACTAGTAATTCTGGTCATTATTGTGTTTTTGTTCCATGTTTTTCCTCCCACTCTATACAGGATCTCCAGTTTTGATCCTTTCCCTAGTGGTTGGCATTGGTAGCTGGGCACCATCTAGTTCTTCTGGTCTTGAGGTCCATCATATCCTAGGGCTGATTATTTCCAAATAACCTTGTTTTTTTTTGTACTCTTATTTGCTTTCAACAACAGGAGGCCAATAGCTGCATCTTAGATAATCTCTCAAAAGCTTTTAAGACCTCAGTTGCTACTCACCAGTGTAGGTTCTTTTGCAACAGATTTGCCCAATGCAATATGTCTTTTGATGTCTTGACTGCTGCTTCCATTGGCATTGATTATAGAACCAAGCAATATGAAGTCTGACAACTTCAATCTTTTCTCCATTTATTGTGATGCTTCTTATTGTTCCAGTTGCGAGGATTTTTGTTTTCTTTATATTGTGGTGTAATCCATACTGCAGACTGTAGTCTTAATCTTCATTAGTAAGTACTCCAAGTCATCCTCACTTTCACCAAGGAAAGTTGTGTTGTCTGCATATCTCAAGTTGTTAATGAGCTTTCCTCCAATCCTAATGCCACATTCTTCTTCATATAGTCCAGCTTCTCAGCTTTCTTGCTCAGCATACAGATTGAATAAATATGGTGAAAGGATACAACCCTGGCCAACACTTCCTGTTTTTAAAACATGCAGTATCCCCTTGTTCTGTTCAAATGGCAGTCTCCTGGTCTGTGTACAGGTTCCTCATGAGTACAATCAAGTGTTCTGGAATTCCTGTTCTTCTCGATGTTATCCACAATTGGTTATGATCCACACAATTGAATGCTTTTGCATAGTCAATAAACACAAGTAAACATCTTTCTGCTGTTCTTTACTTTGAGCCAAAATCCATATTACATCATGGATTGCTCAGTGTCACTGAATAAATAAGGTTCAGCCAGGAGGTACTTTCCCTAGCTCCTACATAGCCAAACAGACCACAGTACTAAACCATCCACTCTCATTCTTAACAAAATATGCAAGCCAAGTTTATAATTTATTTAATGTTTATATGTATGTGTAGTATACAGGCATACCTCATTTTATTATGCTTCACTATTGCACTTCACAGATACTGAGGGTTTTGTTTGTTTGTTTATTTGTTTTTTACAAATTGAAGGTTTGTGGCAACGCTGCATCAAGCAAGCCTGTCCGTGCAATTTTTCCAACAGCATGTGCTCAATTTGTGTCTCTCTGTTACATTTTGGTGATTTTCACAGTATTTCAAACTTTTTCATAATGCTGTTGCACACTTAGTAGATTACTGTAGTGTAAATGTACCTTTATATGCACTGGGAAACCAAAAAATTGGTGTGACTCACTTTATTGCAATATTAGCTTTATTGCAGTGGTCTGGGACTGAACTGACAATATCACTGAGGAATGCCTGATATATTTTTCATATAAATTTTGCAGGAAAAAAAATCAAGAAAAAAACATTTCCTTCATTTACATCCTTCTCCCTTATGATATTATGGTGTAATTTTGTCACAATGGCTGTCCTTATCAGGAGAGGGTTTTTAAGGAAAATGCTCTATGTCCTCTTTATACAAGACTTAATCCCTGTTGCTTGCCAGTGGCTGTGGAGACCAGTTAATTCTCTGATTATTCTCTAATCACACAAATTGGTGCTTTTTTGTCCTCCCTACCCCAAAACATATCCAACTCTGCAAAAGCCACTTTCCTCAGTCATAGTGCCTCTGGAGTCACATTTAAGGATTGCTGATGGTTTGAGATTCTTGCAGTCTTTGGAAGAAATAGAGAAATTGAACAATGTACATGATGCTTTTTGCTAAGACTAAAGATGCCTAAATTCTGTACCAGAAACTTAAAAGTCAAGGAAACACAACCCATCTCATTAATCACTAGCTTCCTGCTACTTCTACAGGATAAGTTATAACTGACATTCTTTTTACACCTAAGATCCTATATATTTGTTTTAGTCTCTTCTCCATTTCCTGATTCATATTCTCTCACTTCCTCTTCTTCCTTTCTCTCCCTCGTCTCTTCCTATCCCTCATTCTTTCTTTTCTTTCTCTCTCTCTCCTTCCTTTCCTCTCTCCTTTCTTTTCCCCATCTCCTCTTCAAAATATGAAAGAAGCTTTATTCCTGTTTGTTTCTGTACAACTGAAAGCTAGTCATTTCCTCAATCAATTTGACAAATTGAGAATCACTTTCCTTCAGCCACACTAATTTAAAATGATTCACCTGCCTAAAGGAGAAGGTAAAGTCAGTTGGGAATTTATAGGAATAAATATGGTGTATTGAATATCAATTTCTTCATCTTCCTCATTTTACACAAACTGCATTGCCCATTCTGTCTATGAAAAACTAATATCCCCAGTATGTGGATTTCACAATCACTGTAAGAAATTCATGCTGGGGTTTGAACTGACTCAACGGAAGGCCATTCTAGTTCTCCAACTTGGGAAAAGAAAACAACCATATAATATCAGTGTCATGTTGGAGCATATTGGGCACCCTCTGAGGGAGGCTGAGTGAAGCGACCAGTTGGGGTATCACTTCACTTAGTCTTGGGAGACCTTTATTGTAAATCTGTTGATTTATCAGGTATAAATATAAACACCCACTTACGTATGTGAAGCCCAAGTATTTATTTTTCCTATTTCTCTGGGAATCGTTAATAATGTAGGTTATAATGTGAGGACTACAAGGACCCAATCTATTTATTGCTGATAAAAATGCCTATGGCAGTTCAGGAAAGCAAACACAAAACTTTACACCAGTGTTCATTGAAGCACATTTCATAATAGCCAAAAGGTGGAAACAACTCATGTGTCCATCAGCAGATGAATGGGTGAAAAAAATGTGGTACATATATATGATGGAATATTACTCAGCCATAAAGAGAAATAAAGTTTTGATGAATGCCACAACATGGATGAACCTTGAGAACATTATGCTGAGTGAAATAAGTTAGTCATACAAATGCAAATACTGTATGGCCTCCCTTATATTTATATTATAAGCTAATATATAGAAACCAAAGTTTATTAGGGTTAGAGGGAAAGATAGTCTTCTTAGGGGACATTGAGGTTATGTTAATGGTAGAGGAATGATTTGGAAACCAATAGCAAGAATATTTGCACAACTTGAAGAATGTAATAATTGCCACTGAATTGTGCATGTAGAAATTGTTAAGATGGTATAGGTTATGTACACCTTCACCACAATAATTTTTTTAAAAAAAATTGACTATGATAGTTTAGAAAGAACTGTCAGTAACTTTTGTTGTCATGACATTTGCTCAGATTCTAGAGAGCAAGTCATTCACCTCCAAAGAAATGCACTGCACAGAAACCTCACACTCAAAGATTCTTATGTCTCTCTGCTTTTACATTTCCAGCCTGGATGTGTAAATACTACTGAAGTGGACATTAAGAAGTCATCCAGAATGAGAAACCCACACAAAACCCGGAAGGTAAAATGATATTTGTTGTGCAGATCTTGGTAATGAGTGACACCCTTTACAGGACATTAAGTCATTAAAATTTTTTTTTCTCCTATTTCATGGAATGTCTATTAGTATCATTCCTGCTTTTCCTTAATGCTCAGTATAGAACACTTGGGACTTTATGCCATGGTCTCCTATCTCTCTCTCCTCAGAAAAAAATTTTTCACTTGCTATTCAGTTGATTTTGACTCATGACAATCCCATATTGATCAGTGTAAAACTGTGTCCCACAGGATTTTCAAGTCTGTGTGTGACCTTTCAGAAGCAGATCACCAGGACTTTCTTCTGAGGCTCCTCTGGATGGACTCAGACTGCCAACCTGTTGGTAGTAGCCCAGTGCTTAGGCATTTGCACTTCCCAGGAACTCCTAATTCTCTAACATTTCTGGCCCCAAGACCCATAGGTGGTGCTGTCTTACTCTGATAAGAGAATATTGTTGTTGTTGTTATGTGCCGTCGAGTCGAACCCAACTCATAGCGACCCCTCCTTGGGTTTCCAAAGCAGTATCACTACAGAAGTAGGACTGCCCAACCTTCCTTCAGAGGAGTGGCTGGTGGGTTTGAACTGCCAGCCGTCTGGTTAGCAGACAAGTGCCTTAGCCACTATGCTACCAGAGCTCCCGATAAGAGAATAGGAAGGGAAAGATCTTTCCCCCTCTGCCCTCCAGGAAGAGCCATCAGCAGAGAAGAGTGTTGCTCACACAGCCCATGAGATGAGGAAAAGAAGGTAGAAATTATCTGAGAAAAAGTGATAAGGATGAGAGAAGGGGCATTTTAGAGAAAAGCCTGAAGAAAAAGGGACATTTAAAATATGTTTATTTATCGAGTATGAGAATGTCTTTTTAACACAGAATTTTTGCAAACCATATAATAAAACCAAAAATCCAAACACAGTACTGTTGAGTCAATTCCTACTCAGTGCCCCTATGGGACAAAGTAGAATGCCATAAAGTTTCCAAGGCTATAATCTTTACAGAAGCAGATTGCCACCTCTTTCTCCTGTGGGGTGGCTATTGGGTTCAAGCTACCAATCTTTTGGTTAGACAACAAACACTTTAACCACTGCACCACCAGGTGTCCTCTGATTGTATGATGCCATCGTTAGGTGCTATTGAGTCAATTCTGACTCATAGACACCCTATGTACAACAGAGGGAGCTCTGGTAGCATAGTGCCTAAGGCACTTGACTGCTAACCAGAAGGCTGGCAGTTCAAACCCACCAGCCACTCTTCAGAAGGAAGGTTGGGCAATCTACTTGCATAGTGATACTGCCTCGGCAACCCAAGGAGGGGTCGCTATGAGTCGGGTTTGACTTGAGAGCATATAACAACAACAACAACATGTACAACAGAACAAAGCATTGCTGGGTCCTGCACCATGTTTTTTTCAGTGGCCAATTTCTCCAGAAGTGGACCAACAAGTTGTTCTTACTATTCTGTCTTAGTCTGAAAGCTCTACTTAAACCTGTCTGTCCACCATGGGTGATCCTGCTGATATTTGAAATACTGGTGGCATAGCTTCAAGCATCACAGCAAGCCACCACAATATGACGAACTGACCATATAATTGAAGCTGTATGTTTAGTGTCTGTTAAATGAAAAAATGTTGAAGGGAATGGGCTTAGGAAGTGATCCTGAAATTAGTGATGTTTTAAAATAACCTTTTGCAAATGCTTTCAAGTAAGAGGTATCGACCTGATTTTTATAGTAATATGGATAGAGTCATTTCTATTCATTCCATTAAAAAATGCATGATGAACATAAGAATTTATAGTTTGCAGACATCACTCTGAGCCCACAGGTTGAAAATACTGAATTGAAGCATTCCACACAGTTCAGGGACTCAGGTGGCATAGTGCCTAAGGCATCTGACTGCAAACCAGAAGGCTGCTGGTTCAAACCCACCAGCCATTCCCCAGAAGGAAGGTTGGGCAATCTCCTTCTGTGGTGTTATTGCCTCCGAAACCCAAGGAGGGGTCGCTGTGAGTCAGACCTGACTCAACGGCAGCGGGTATACAGTTCAGGACATAATTTTATTTATTTATTTATTTTTAATGTGTTGTTATTAGTTGCCATTGTGCCAAGTTTAACTCATGGAATCCCAAGTATAAAGAGTAGAACTGCTCCATAGGGTTTTCAGATCTCAAGGCCTATCTTCTGAGGCATCGCTTCCAAACTCACTGCCATTGAGTCAGATCCAACTCACAGTAACCCTTCCTTGGGTTTCCAAGGTGGTATCAGTATGGAAGTAGATTGCCCAGTCTTCCTTCCAGAGGCATCTTTGAGTGGGTTCAATGTCAACCTTTTGCCTTAACCATCTGTACCACCAAGAGGCTCCTTTTCTTTATGTAACCATAGCATTTTCCAGGATCTATGTCCCTGCAGTTGACACTAAACATTTTTTTTTTCTTGTAGTTTTATTTCATATTATCTTTTCTTTATCCCTAGAACTATAGCGTCACCTTCAAAGGCCCCATGTGCTCCAAGAATGTTTTCTTTCTTTTAAGGAGTTTCTCTTGATGTTAGGATAAAAAAAGCCACTGGGAGAGAACTACAAAACCCATTAAGATGCAGCATTCAAAAGCTTTTGCCCTTCGGACCTCTCTGAGACAAAGCAAAACAAGACAAAAAGAAAGCCTGTCCCCACATGCTTTCTCTCCTGGGCTGGCCCACTTCGCTCCTTTCATCCTCTGCTCACAAGCACATACAGAGTGCACTGGGGACTGGCTTTGTGCAACAAGATTAAAAAATGTTATTAGCTCCCTAAAAAGTACATCAAGCAGCCTCCAACTATTTTCTGAATTTTGAAGTTACTTACTGTGTGTCCTGTTTTACCCAAAGCAAATGAATTTACAAGATAGAACATACAATAAAGTAATCAGTTATACTTCTTAGCACTATATTCAGTATTGAGAGCCTATCACTGCTTCATATGGGATCGTTCTTTTTGAAAGTTTGAAAAGCACTAGTTAGCAATGCTGTTCTTCATATACCATCAGCCCTTATCTAATTATGAAAAAAAAAAAAATGAATCACTGTGAAGAGATGGAATCATTGAGCTCTAGGTCTATTTGTCCAAGCTGTGGTGTAATTTCATATGAATCCATAAATAGTGGAATTACAGTGCATCTCTGCAGAGCTACAGCACTGAAATTTAACAGAGACAAAGTTCTGAAAAATGCTACATGCATGCCCTCATTTTCAACAATTGGAGTGTATGGATTTTCTCACTATTGATAAATATAGCTTCTCATAATCAGTAGTGCTGAATTTGTTAGACTCTTTACTGATAATAGTGTTATTTTACATAGAAGATTATAGGACCCTAAGTCCTATTTTAGCTCATATTTCGTTAGGAACTGGAATGATTTATTCAGTAGATTTAACAAGTCTCTATTATATGCTAAAGGAGCTCTGGTGGCATAGTTGATAAGGCATTTGGCTGCTAACCAGAAGGTCAGTAGTTCAAATGCACCAGCCACTCAGTGGGAGGAAGATGGGGCAATCTACTTCTATAAAGATTTGTTGTTGTTGTTGTTGTTGTTGTTAAGTGCCGTCGAGTCGTTTCTGACTCATAGCGACCCCATGCACAGCAGAACGAAACACTGCCCGACCCCGCGCCAGCCCCACAATCCCTGCTATACTTGAGCCCATCATCGCAGCCACCGTATCAATCCATCTCCTTGAAGGCCTCCCCCTCTTTCATCGACCCTCCACCCTACCAAGCATGACATCCTTCTCCAGGGAATGGTCCCTTCTTACAACATGACCAAAATAGGTGAGACAAAGTCTGGACATTCTTGCTTCCAAGGAGCATTCTGGCTGCACTTCCTCTAGGACAGATCTGTTAGTTCTTTTAGCAGTCCATGGTACTTTCAGCATTCTCCACCAGCACCACAACTCAAAACCATCAACTCTTCGGTCTTCCTTATTCATTGTCCAGCTCTCACATGCATACAAGGCGATTGGAAATATCATGGCTTGTGTCAGGTGCACCTTAGTCCTCAATGAGATATCCTTGCTCCTCAGCACTTGAAACAGTTCCTTCGCAGTTGACTTTCCCAATGCTACACGTCGTCTAATGTCCTGACTGCTGCTTCCGTTGGCATCGATTGTAGAACCAAGCAACGTGAATTCCTTGACAACCTCAATCTTCTCTCCATTTATTGTGAAGTTGCTGATTGGTCCAGTTGTGAGGATTTTTGTTTTCTTTATGTTGAGATGTAATCCATACTGCAGACTGTATCCTTCAACCTTCATCAGTAGGTGCCTTAAGTCATCCTCACTTTCAGCAAGCAAAGTTGTATCGTCTGCATATCTCAGGTTGTTAATGATTCTTCCTCCAATCCTGATACCACATTTTTCTTCATATAGTCCAGCTTCTCGGATTATTTGCTCAGCATATAGATTGAATAAGTGTGGAGAAAGAATGCAACCCTGACGCACTCCCTTCTTGATTTTAAACCATGTAGTGTCCCCTTGTTCTGTTCGAACGACAGCCTCCTGGTCAAGGTACAGATTCCTCATGCGTACAATCAAGTGCTTGGGAATTCCCATTCTTCTCAATGTTGTCCATAATTTGTCATGATCCACACAATCAAATGCCTTTGTATAGTCAATAAAACACAAGTAAACATCTTTCTGGTATTCCCTTCCTTGAGCCAAGATCCATCTGACAACAGCTATGATATCCCTTGTTCCACGTCCTCTTCTGAATCCAGCTTGAACCTCTGGAAGTTCTTTGTCAATATACTGCTGCAAACGTTTCTGAATTATCTATAAAGATATACAGCCTCCAAAATCCAATGAGGCTCTCTATGGGTGGAAATCAATTGGATGGCGATGAGTTTGTTTGTTTTGATTATATGCTAAGGAGCCCATGAATGGTTGAATGATGCAAATAGTTAACATGCTCAGCTGATAACTTAAAGGTTGAAGGTTTGAGCCTTCCCAGAGGTGCCTTATAAGA